CCCTTCCCTGTGCCCTCCCGGGGGTCCGGCAGAGGGCAGTGACCGGCGATCTGTGCATCCGGGGGGCCCCGGAGAAACCGGTAGGTCCGACTGCCAACCCACGTGGCCTGGGGGCGCCGGGAGACTGGCGAGCTGTCATCCGTGGAGGGAGGGGCTTGGAGACGGCAGGTCGGGGGAAGGGGTCCTGCCGTCCGCGCTGCCTTTTGCGGTCGGAGGACAGGTTCTCCCCGGGGTCCTTTAGCCGGTTGGTCCCCAGCTGGGGGATACAAAAGGCGAGGCCTGGAGCCCCCCGTTGGCAGGGAGGGCGAAGTCCGGGAGCGGGCAGTGGCCAGGAAGGACCCGCCCCCCAATGCACACTTGCCGCCCGCGGAGTTCTCTCCAGGATCCGCAGAGGTGACTGGGCTGAGCGGGGCAGCCCCCGAACGTGCCTTGGGCCTTGGCACTTGCCCACCGGGGTGCTCTGACTCCGGCTGTTGGGCCGCCCCTCGTCCTGGGTGAGCCCCCTTTCTGGGCTCGAGTTCGCTAGGGGTGGGCGCACAGCCTTTGTCAGGGAGGGGAGTGGCCAGCTCCAGCCCAGCTCTCAGTCCCGAGTCAGCATCCTGCGGAAGCGCCTCCACTCAGCCTCACCTGGGCCCTGTCTGCGCCTCTCTCCCCGAGGCCACTCCCCAAAGGGTCAAGGCTGGATGGAACTCGCTCTAAGCAGGAAGAGGGAGCCAGCTGGGAGGGGCTTTGGCCAGGCCCTCTCCCCTTCAGGGCGGGCGCCTGCGGGAGGGAGGTGCCTGCTGGCCTGGCTCCTGTCACAGCTGAGCACCTTTAGGCAAAGTAGCCCGGCGACCGGAGAAGCAGCTTGAGGGGGGCCCCAGGGAGCCCCTGGGACTGGTTCCAAGCGCCCGCTCTTGCTCAGCGCTTCAGGCTCAGCCTCGCAGGAGCCTCACTGTCCAGGTTAGGGATCCAGGGGCGGGCGGGGTGGGCTTTGCTCCCTGCCTAGTGTCCAGGGTAAGTGTCTGGAGAGCTGTTTGCTTCATCAGGGCTTCTGGCTGGGTCCCCAGATTGGCCGTGGAGATGCTGAGATGTTGCATGGTCTCAGGTGGCAGGGGAGCTGTGGTGAAGGGGCGTCCACCAGCCCCGGCCAGCGGACCCTACCCCCACTCCATGTGGGTACTACTCAGCCAGGCTTGACTCAGACACCTGAAGCCACAAGGTGTCAGTGGGTAGTGGCCCCAGGGGCCATTGGGTAAGCTGCTGTAAACCACGTGGGTGTGTGAGCCCGAGATGCAAGGCCAAAGGGCAGGAACATGGGGCAGACCAAGGAGTTCCACTTGGGAGAGACTTCCAGGAGCAGCAGAGAGCGAATGAATGGTCTGTTCTTGCACGTCCAGGGCCCAGGAGGAGCCAGGTAGCCTGGAGGAACGCCCAGCCCTAGTCCCATAGACAGCTCTTTGGGTCACTTCAGGCCAGAGCTCACTGGCTTCAGAAGGTCAGAAACAGGTTTTCCCAGGCCGGTTCCCTCTGAGCCTGGCTCGGGGGGAGCAAACTCTCAGAGTGTTTTCCAGGGCAGAGACCACGGGGGGATCCGTGTAAGTACAGCTGCACGTGGTCTGAATGCTAAGTAAGAACAGTCCTGATGTGCGAATGGCAGCAGCTGAGTGGTGTACCGTGCCTACTCCGCGCCGGGGTAACCAGATTACATGGATGATCTCATTTAATTCTCCACAACCCGATGAGTCTGTATTATCACTGTCCCCATTTTATAGATGAGAAAACTGAGACTGATAAAAGCAAACCAGGTCAACCCAGGTCCCTCTCCAGCGACGTTCCTGACACTCGATTCCTAGCAGGGACAAGTCTCCCTGCAGGCAAGGCCCCCAGAGAACACACTGCAAGTGCCTACATATCCAGAAAGAAAACTATTGCTCAACTCCGTTTTTTAAAAAAATATACTTTTATTGATTTCAGAGAGGAAGGGAGAGGGAGAGATAGAAACATCAGTGATGAGAGAGAATCATTGATTGGCTGCCTCCTGCACACCCCACACTGGGGATGGAGTCCGAAACCCGGGCATGTGCCCTGACTGGGAATTGAACCGTGACCTCCTGGTTCATAGGTCGATGCTCAACCACTGAACCACCCGGCCGGGCTCAACTCCGTTTTGAATGGAGGAATGTTAGGATGTTCAGTGAAAGGTATCAGGACAGAGAATTGTTTCAATCCCCAGCTCTCCTGCCTCCTTCCTGCGGTGACATGGGGCCAGGTACTTCCTCTCCCAGCCGAGTTCCTTCCTCTCTAGAGCTGGCCTGGGAGGAGCGCCCGCCTTGAGAGCAGTGACCGGGAATAGCTGACTTAATCCACCTTAGTGCGCTGCCTAGGCATTCAATGAGCTTCACCTGCTGATATCAGTTTGTTAAAAAAGTTACATTTTATATACATTAAAAAAAAGACCAGAAGGAAAAACACTAAAGTGTGAACAGTGGGAAATGTGTATGGTGGGAAAATGACATCTTTTCTTTATACTTTTTTGTCCTTTCCAAGTTTTCGACAATGAATAGATACCATGAATTCCTCCTTTTATGATCAGGAAAAGAACGAGAGAGAGAGAGAGAGAGAGAGAGAGAGAGAGAGAAAGCAGAGAGCGAATGAATGGTCTGTTCTTGCACGTCCAGGGCCCAGGAGGAGCCAGGTAGCCTGGAGGAACGCCCAGCCCTAGTCCCATAGACAGCTCTTTGGGTCACTTCAGGCCAGAGCTCACTGGCTTCAGAAGGTCAGAAACAGGTTTTCCCAGGCCGGTTCCCTCTGAGCCTGGCTCGGGGGGAGCAAACTCTCAGAGTGTTTTCCAGGGCAGAGACCACGGGGGGATCCGTGTAAGTACAGCTGCACGTGGTCTGAATGCTAAGTAAGAACAGTCCTGATGTGCGAATGGCAGCAGCTGAGTGGTGTACCGTGCCTACTCCGCGCCGGGGTAACCAGATTACATGGATGATCTCATTTAATTCTCCACAACCCGATGAGTCTGTATTATCACTGTCCCCATTTTATAGATGAGAAAACTGAGACTGATAAAAGCAAACCAGGTCAACCCAGGTCCCTCTCCAGCGACGTTCCTGACACTCGATTCCTAGCGGGGACAAGTCTCCCTGCAGGCAAGGCCCCCAGAGAACACACTGCAAGTGCCTACATATCCAGAAAGAAAACTATTGCTCAACTCCGTTTTTTAAAAAAATATACTTTTATTGATTTCAGAGAGGAAGGGAGAGGGAGAGATAGAAACATCAGTGATGAGAGAGAATCATTGATTGGCTGCCTCCTGCACACCCCACACTGGGGATGGAGTCCGAAACCCGGGCATGTGCCCTGACTGGGAATTGAACCGTGACCTCCTGGTTCATAGGTCGATGCTCAACCACTGAACCACCCGGCCGGGCTCAACTCCGTTTTGAATGGAGGAATGTTAGGATGTTCAGTGAAAGGTATCAGGACAGAGAATTGTTTCAATCCCCAGCTCTCCTGCCTCCTTCCTGCGGTGACATGGGGCCAGGTACTTCCTCTCCCAGCCGAGTTCCTTCCTCTCTAGAGCTGGCCTGGGAGGAGCGCCCGCCTTGAGAGCAGTGACCGGGAATAGCTGACTTAATCCACCTTAGTGCGCTGCCTAGGCATTCAATGAGCTTCACCTGCTGATATCAGTTTGTTAAAAAAGTTACATTTTATATACATTAAAAAAAAGACCAGAAGGAAAAACACTAAAGTGTGAACAGTGGGAAATGTGTATGGTGGGAAAATGACATCTTTTCTTTATACTTTTTTGTCCTTTCCAAGTTTTCGACAATGAATAGATACCATGAATTCCTCCTTTTATGATCAGGAAAAGAACGAGAGAGAGAGAGAGAGAGAGAGAGAGAGAGAGAGAAAGAGAGAGAGAACCACAACCTGGGCATGTGCTCTGGCCGGGAATCGAACCTGCGACCTTTCAGTGCACAGGATGTTACTCAACCAACTGAGCCACATAGGTCAGGGCAACCAACTTCACTTTCCAGGGGGGAATCCTCAGAGCCCATCCCCAGAGGACTGAGTTAGCGGGTCCTGGGAGGGACACTCACTCGCTGTTAAAGAGGCCGGTGTTCCCTGCCAACAGCCACCCCCCTCCCTCTGATGGTGCCTTTCGTTTGCCCCACAGGAGGTCCGAGGGGATGGCTGCTGACATGCAGAGGAAGAGAAGCAGCGAGTGCCCCCACGGCACCTTGGCTCCTGCCGATGGGCAGAGTGTGGAGAGAGCCGAGAGCCCCACCCCGGGGCTGGCCCAGGGAATGGAGCCAGGTACGGGCAGGGTGTGCACAGCTGGCCGCTAGAGCCGCCTCCAGGAAGGCCCGGATTCCCTCCACTCTCTCCCTCCCATGCAATCGCGTGTGTGCTCAGCTCACTGGGCGTTTGTCAGAGGCAGGGGGTCCTGCATGGGACTGAGCTCAGTCTGCTTCCCGCCGTCCTCTGCGAGCACGTGGGCCACGCGCCCCGGGCTGTCTGCCGCCAGCTGGGCCCTCCTCCCTCCAGCGTCTGCAGTGAACCTGCGGGGCTCTGCTCCAGCGCTCGGTGTGAATGTGGCCTCCTCGTGAGGCAGGCCTGCTCTGTACAGAACACTCGTTATTTTGTAATTTTATTTATTTTTTTATTTTTATTTACTTTTTTTTATTGCTTAAATTATTACAAAGAGTATTACATATTTCTCCTTTTTTCCCCCCGCCCTTGATGTAATTTTATTTTTTATGTACGTATTGCCCATCTCGCTCTGAGCACAGAGCAGTTGTGTCCTCAATGCCTAGTACAGAGCTGAACTCATAATAGAGGCCCAAAATATATCTGTTGAGTTATTCTGTCAAAAAAAAAACACCCCAGAAATCAGAAGAGGAAGACTGACAAGGTCCCTGGGGGAGTCACAGGCTAGTGGCCCTTTCAGTGGCGTGGCCTCTCCCAGGGGGAGACTCACTGAGCACAGGAGGCATCCAGGGGCAGGGGGACCGGGCACACAGCAGTGAGCAGCCAGCTTCCGGCCCGAGGGGGGACCCCATCACAGGGAGGGGACAGTAACCGACAAGTGTCACGGGAGACACTCGGGAGGGAGGCATACAGTGCTGGGCTTGGAGGTCGGGTGAGGAGGCAACGAGCATCTTTGCTGAGAGCTGACAGCCAGCCCTGCGAGCAGCCCGGTGCCTTCCGGGCGGAGGGAAGAGCAGGTGCGGAAGCCCTGGGGTCGGTGGCGGTGTTGAGCGTGGCCGAGGAGCAGGTGGACAGAGGCCCGTGTGCCTGGGATGACAAGGCTGTCAGATGCGAGTGAGAGAGGCGGGCAGACAGCAGCTGCCCCCAGCCATGAGGGCTGCCCCCATGTGATTGATGGAGGAGCCTGGTGGCCTGTGATCGCAGGCGGACAGTGAGTCGCAGAGGGAAGAGGGACTTGCTCATGGAGACAGGCAGTCACGCGAGGGCGTCTGGGAGACACCTTGCTGGTGAGGGGTCTGCCAGCGGCTGCTGCTCTAAGCACTGGTGCTCTTGGCTGGCAGGTGCCGGGCAGGAGGGTGCCATGTTCGTCCACGCCCGTTCCTATGAGGACCTGACTGAGCCGGAGAATGGGGCGGCTCCTGGGGAGAGTCCCGAGGAGGGTGCCGGGGGGCCACCCCCGCTGCCTGCGGACATGCGCCAGATCAGCCAGGACTTCAGTGAGCTGAGCACCCAGCTGACAGGCGTGGCCCGGGACCTGCAGGAGGAGATGCTGCCAGGAAGCTCCGAGGACTGGGCGGAACCCCCGGGGGCCTCCGGGAGACCGGCCACAGAGTCCCCCAGGGAGGGCGCCGGAGACGGGGACGAGGAGGAGGCCGCGGAGGCCTGGCGGCTGCACCAGAAGCATGTGTTCGTGCTGAGCGAGGCGGGGAAGCCCGTGTACTCCCGCTACGGGTCCGAGGAAGCCCTGTCCAGCACCATGGGGGTCATGGTGGCCCTGGTGTCCTTCCTGGAGGCCGACAAGAACGCCATTCGCTCCATCCACGCGGGTGAGCCACCTGAGGGGGCTGGGGGGGCTCCCCTGGCCATGGTCGCTTCCCAGCGGGTTTGGGACTCCCGGGGCCTAGAGGACGGGCGGTGCGGTGTGGCCCAGGGCAGGCCCTCCACTCACTGTCTCCAGGTCTTCATCTGATCAGCGAACAACCACCCTGACCGCCCCTAGGGCTGTTGAGGCCAAAGGTGGCTCTGATGTGGGCTTTGCCCTTGGAGAGGGTGGGAAGCCTGGGGAGGTGACCCCAAAACCCCAGGTCTTTTTGCCATTTAGCTCAGGAATCGTGTTTTTCTGAAGTGCTTCCCGCTTTCAGCTGGTGCTATTCGGTGAGGCAAGTTGCAGGGACAGGCCCGGCTCCCTCAGGGAAAGGGGGCCGTGAGCGGCTGTTTCTCTCACCATCCTGAAGCCCCTACTGTGTGCAGAGCTCAGAGGGAGGGTGGAGAGGATGTGGAAGGCGACAAGCTGCCAGGAGGCAGGGCTCTGAGGGAGTTGGGTGAGGCCAGTCCAGGAGGGCTTCCTGGAAGGGGCTGCAGCCGACATCCCCCCTCCCCGCCCCCCACAGATGGCTACAAGGTCGTGTTCGTGCGCCGGAGCCCCCTGGTGCTGGTGGCGGTGGCGCGCACGCGGCAGTCGGCGCAGGAGCTGACGCAGGAGCTGCTCTACATCTACTACCAGATCCTCAGCCTCCTCACGGGCGCGCAGCTGAGCCATATCTTCCAGCAGAAGCAGAACTACGACCTGCGGCGCCTGCTCTCGGGCTCGGAGCGCATCACCGACAACCTCCTGCTCGCCCGCAACCAGCTCGTGGCGCTCGTGCGGCGCCGGGACCAGTTCCTGCACCCCATCGACCTGCACCTGCTCTTCAACCTCATCAGCTCCTCCTCGTCCTTCCGCGAGGGCGAGGCCTGGACGCCCGTGTGCCTGCCCAAGTTCAACGCAGCCGGCTTCTTCCACGCGCACATCTCCTACCTGGAGCCCGACGCCGACCTGTGCCTGCTGCTCGTGTCCACCGACCGCGAGGACTT